GCCGTATCGTTTTGCGAGCAGTAGGCGGGCCTTCCATCGCCGGTGACATTAGTCCAGCGGCGATCCCATCCGACCAAGCCAAGGTCGTTTCGCCATCGCCGCAGAACAGCACGTGAAAAAATCCGCAGACGACCGACGGCAGTCTGCACTCTCCAGGTGAGTATATACAAAGATGCACGTAGATATAAAGATTAAAATTAGGCTTGATTATTTCATCAAAGATGCCCATATATGCAATACAAAATAAATAAATAAATATATATGCTTGAGAAAGAATTGAAAACATGAAATATTGTGTGTTATGCTCTGTTAGATATTGATAAGCAAGAACTTGGAAGGTTAAAAATGAATTTAATTGGATATAAAATACCAACTCGTTGAATATTTTTCATATGGTGCCCAGGCTTGATGGAATGAGGGAAAGAAAATTGTTTTAGAGTTTTACTAGTTCCCCTGGCAAGACTGAAAGTTGGGCTATAATTCTATTATTATTATTATTATTATTATTATTATTATTATTATTATTATTATTATTATTATTATTATTAATGCATATCTTAAAATTATGAGTGTGATATTGGCACCGATTGTAAAATTGAAACCTTTCTTTAAATTAATGACATGATTTTTAAAAATGATAGATTTGGGAATTGCACATTGTTGTGTGTTCTCTTGTTTTTTAGACTGCATAAAGAAGAGGCTAGACTTCTGTGGCTATATTTCTGTACAATCATAACACAGAAAGATTGAGGTATTATTTTAGTATAATAATGATGTGCTTGGTGGAGCTTAATGGAGAGCAGACAAAATAATGAAGTAGGATCACCAATTTCTTTTCCTCTCATGCAGCAGCTCACAAGCAGAAACCAAGAAGATGCATGAAAAAATACCATTGGAATTCATATAACTAATTTTGTACAAATATAAGGAAGTTTACAAACTAAACACCAACACAAATACAAAAATCTACATCATACACCTCTCAACTTCATCCCATACATTTTTAAAACAAAAATACTCTTTTGTTTTGCAAGAGACATGGCAGCTTAAAGAAAGTATCATGGCAACTTTCATAAGAATAAAAGTTCATCTTTTCAAGCTTTCATAACAATCATTGTTCTTCTCTCACAAGCCAAAACAATCCCACAATCTCCTTCACTTCATCCCCCACTCATTTACAGTCATCAAGCAAACCCCACCGCTCGTCACCGTCATCTCCATTTGCCCCACATACCAACATGAAAAAAAAATCCCAATTCAGGTACAACCCGAGCCCGAGATCAAACACCGCATCAAAGAGTGGCATGTTGTGGGGAAAAATCTGCTCCTCATGATACACTTACAAACTGATACAACAATATATAGCTCACTACACACAATCACATATGAGACATAGCGAAAATCTGCATTTTGCCGTTAAACTTCTTGGGAAGCTCCTCCATGAACACCACTTTCCACGGCACCATGAACCCCGACAGCCTCTCTCGGCAGTGCCGCACGATCTCCTCTTCGTCCGCCCCCTTGTGCAGCACTACGAGCAGGCACAGGCTCTCCCTCCACCGCGCGTGGCACCCTAGTCCTTCAGGTACTCCTTCATCACCCTGCTCCTCCTCGATCGTCTTCCCGTCCTGCAGATGTGGTTGCGGTTGTTGACGGAGGTCGCAGGTGGATTTGGGAAAACGGGTGTGGGGTTTCTGGATCGGGTCGAACGGGTCGACGCAGGGTGAGCTGAAAAATCTCGATTAGCTTCGCCCATTTTCGTATCTATATATGGATTTTTCTTCTTCGCGAAGTCCGAGCGGTGACTTGGGCGGGTTTATAGCTCAGGATTTTGAGATAATTTGGAGGTGAAGGGTCAAACGCGATTGATTATGGGATTTGGGGGATTGAAATCGGCCATTTCTGCATAACCCTAGAAGGGGGATTTGGGGATTGATCGTGAAGCAGATCTTTTTTTTTTGGTGCTGTAGGAATAAAAAAAGGGTCATTTCTACGTCTCTTTTTTTTTTCTGTTAAAAATGATGTTTAACAGCAGAAATTCCATGTGCCATGTAAGAATTAATAAATGTAAATAATAAAGCCACATAATCTGCCACATCATGTTGTGGCATTGTCATACGGCGCCCAATAGGGTGCCATAGAATTTCTGCTCCACCGTAGGTCTGCATGTTTATCTGATCCGAAATTTTGGTATGATTTTGGTTGGATATATAACCAAATCACGATTAATCTGCTTGAAGTACGATCAATTGTGAGATTTGATCGGTAATTAATCTGCTTGAAGTAAGATTAAATGATGTGGATAAGGCCTTAATTATTAGGATTATTATTATTATTATTATTATTATTATTATTATTATTATTATTATTATTATTATTATTATTATTATTATTAGGTATCTTGGTGAATAAGTTAGGAATTATATATTATTAGAGATCTTATCTTGTTGGGCAAGTTAGGAATAGGGTTTTGGAGTCTTATTTAAAGGGCTCATCATATATTGTTTTAGTCAGTTGAATTTGAAATGAAATAAAGATATTGTTGAGTTTTACGTGTTGTACGAGAGAGTATCTCGTTTACTCGTTTTATCCTTCCCATTCGTACGCATTCCCTACATCAGTTGGTATCAGCAGTCAGTACGATCGCGATGTCGCCGGGACGAGAAGATGCCGTAAACAAAAAACGTGATGCAACCGTCAACGATCGGTTTCAACAGATTGATTACCGATTTCAAGAGTTGGACGTGCGTTTCACTAATTTGTTTGCCGATCTTTCGACGGGGATCGAGGATTTGTGTTTGACGCCAAACAACGTGATTGTTACGGAATTGCAGACGGACCGCGATGGAGGCCGTGACTCTCACGGGGGAAACAGAGGCGGACGTGGAGGACTCGTCCTTGTCGGGGCGCCCCGACAGCGGTCCCTGCCACCTCTGGACGGCTTCGTGGACGGCGACGATCAACGCAGCGACATGGGCTGGCGCAAAGAGGCAGCCTGCGCTAGCGGATATCGTGCCCGACATGATTGGAGACTTGAATGTGATTGGGGACTTGATCGCGAATATGATCATTGGGAGGAACCGTTTCGCGTCGACATCCCCGAATTCGAAGGAGAGCAAGTTGATGGGCCATTGTATGACGGTCCGCCCATTTTTGATGAGGAGCCTCCGGTGACGCAGACACAAATTTGCGGCGATATGGGCCCTGCATGGATCGTCGCAGAGGTTGAACATTCAAATAGAAAACCGTCGGTCGGACCCAATTTTCAGAGTATCTTGGCCGTGGATGGTTTTTCGGAGGCGAGGCCGGGACTCAAAAACTGCTGGGACATTTTTCGACTGTCTGTATTGAAATCTTCCAACAACGGAATGTTTAGCCGTAATTGTGGATTTGAGAGCGGCAAACGACATGGTATTTATGGTGTTAATTTCGCTGGGTGGTCCTTTGTTGTAGTTATGTCATTTCCCAACATTATGATTACCATTGGAGCTATTTGGCAACATTCCACTTTCGTGTTCGATAGGGGAAAACGATGAGCAATGGATTCCATGGGTACGACTCCGGTGTCGGCGCGTCTTGCACGGCTTCGAGGGCGAAGCCTTCCGAATCGGGGGAGAATGATGTGGATAAGGCCTTAATTATTAGGATTATTATTATTATTATTATTATTATTATTATTATTATTATTATTATTATTAGGTATCTTGGTGAATAAGTTAGGAATTATATATTATTTGAGATCTTATCTTGTTGGGCAAGTTAGGAATAGGGTTTTGGAGTCTTATTTAAAGGTCTCATCATATATTGTTTTAGTCAGTTGAATTTGAAATGAAATAAAGATATTGTTGAGTTTTACGTGTTGTACGAGAGAGTATCTCGTTTACTCGTTTTATCCTTCCCATTCGTACGCATTCCCTACATCATTAAATCAGATTAAATGTAAGATTTTCAAATTTGTTTCCACAAATATAGGAAAATGGTAACTAAATCAAATTTAATGTATTCTTTGACAGGAAGGCGTGTTTGTTTTCACTGTTTAATTCAAGTTCGGGGCAGACAAGAAAACATTCAACGGCCGGCGACTGCCAAAACATCCAAACGCGCCCCCGCCCAAAATCCATTCCCAACCACAAACATTTATCCGGCTTAGGAATCGATCGTCCCTGTGGTGATTTGGAGGAATCTCCGGCCAGAAAATCCATGGCGCCGTCGCTGTTGGAGCAGCTCAACGGTGAGAGGGCTGTGGTTTTGCTCTATGTTGGTCGGATTCTCTTCTCCTGTCCCCTCTCTCTCCTCCCCGAGGCATTTTCTCTCTCTTTCCTATCGTTATTCGCTCTATCCGTCGAGATTCCCGCCGATGATGCCTCCAATCCTCTTTCGTACCACTTCAAGACCAGGTTGAATTAAGCTTTATTATTTATTTTATGGTTGCATAATCTAGTTGAGCTGAGGTAAATCATGTTAGCAGCTCTACTCCCTAGTTGGTTTTAGTATGGGCCGTCTGATCAAAAAAGGTTTTGATGATTTGGTTGTGATCATGCATTGAACTGAATTTTGTTCCTATAATTTCAATGTGGATAACTTTATTTTTGTATTTCCGCAATTTTGGGTTGTTATGAGCTTCGAGTTACGGGCACTTGTTTTGCCATAAATTTGTTTAGATGTCTGCTCCCTTCCTGAACTATGTGTTGTGTTATAGTAGATCTAACCGTCTTCTGGAGTTTATTAACATATTCATTGAACTAAGAGTAGTTGAAAAAATGAATTCTCATGCATCTCTTCTGTTTCCACAAGAACTCCTGTATTAACTTATTTTTTGATAAGAATTGTTGGTTATAGGCCTGGAGCATCTTCTGGAATTTTCTTGGGCACAGTTACACTCCCTGGTCTTCTGGTCTCTAGGTTGATACAAATTTTGAGATCAGAATCATTGCAGGAAGTTCGAAAAGAGGGTACAACATCCTGCCACTACATTCATTTTCATTTCTGCCCTTTCCCTATTTTCAATATATTAATGCTTCCAAGCACTGCCATTTCCTTTTGACTGCACTAAACTGATGTATTGCTGAAATAAAAAATCGGAATATAATGATAAACGAAAAATCGGTACATTTTGGATTTTATGTCAGTTCACATAAGATTTTGGTTTTCAAGTATGCATATTATATTTTTTTCTCTAGCTAATTCTCAAATGCAATTAATTTGCATTCTACTCTATAGCTTATGTTGTTTTTTGTTGTCGTGTTTTACAGAGTTTGCATATCTCAAGTTGCAGTATTGGGCTGCAGCAGCCACTTGTCTCAGTGTGCTAATTTACCTTTCCATTGTTTGTCAAAGTCAGGGGAAGAGTACTAATTCCATATGTTCTCACTCCAAGTGGAGTCCAGTATATAGTTTCATATGCACGATCTTGCTAGTAGGGTTTAGCGTGGCATCATTATCTGGAAAATTATATGGTGGTTAGTGAACAAATTTCCCTTCTGATCCGATGCTCTCCAGTACGTAATGTATCATTGGTGAATGAGGGATGCTTATTTAACAAGTGCAAACAGCGTGAACCTGAAGAAACTTTGTCTATGATACTCTACACCGTATTTGTTAGTACGACATATTTCATGTCTCATTTTTTTTTCTTGTTCTCACGCTTTGCAGTTTGGTCACTGACGTTGATGTCGTTATGGGTGCTCGTTCATGGACTAGCAGCCGTTACATTAATTCAGAAAATCTTTCAAATGTTCCCTGCATGTGCTTCCATAGGTAAGTTTTGTTGTTTACCTTCACTATTTAAAATTATAACACTACTGACAAGTTTTAGGTGACTCTTAACCTGATGGCTTATATGCTATCTTTGCAATGCTGTTATCTCTGGGGTATACCCCTGTGTTTGTTCCTTGTTTGTTTTATTTTTAGTTGTATGTGGAAGGACTTGTTTTCTCATCAGCAATTGTATATGTTTCTCTTCGCAGGGGAATCCCTTCTAGTGACCAGTGGCCTTGTAGTCTATTTTGGTGACATGGTTGCATATACTTTTGCAAATGTCGGTTTTACCATCTCCAGTTTTCATGTTGTCTACCTTAACACTTGATAAATGGTCACGTCATCTTTTTTGGTTGATCAATGACTCTTGTTAAACAGATATCATATTTGGCATCCTCCAATGTTCTCTTTGTACAAAATGGGTTCGGGAGATGTGAGATAAGCACCATTATTCAGGTACTTTTTGAAGGTTTTAAGAAAAAACAGTGTTCTCAGCAGTGTGCCCTTCGAAGCAGCAAGGAACGATTCTGTATTTTATTGATTTATTGGCGTCACCTTTGCTACTTCATGCAGGGAACAATTTGTGGACTGCTTATTTTTCCTGTTTTTTACAAGTATGTTGTTGCAATGTGGGAATACTTTGCCAGCTTGGGTAGCAATGCTTGTCATAGAGACAGTGATATGAGAAGATCTCTTGTTTTCTATGGCTCAATCACATTTATGTTGGTTGTGGTTGTTCCTTCATGGATGCAATTTGTGCATGCTTTTCACCTGCACCCATTGTTATGGTACAGTATCTCCCGACTTTGATTTTCTTTTTGGTTTTTCTTGCTCTAATAGTTTTATCAGGAATACATGCATTTGTTGGGGCACAGTCTTCCCTTGCTCTCTAAATATTAGACAGGGTAACTAATATTGTA